GGTTTGGGTTGTGGGGGATGGTGGGGGTTGAGGTGGCTGTTTCCGATGCGTGCGTGTTCCGTATGTCACCCAGGGACACTGCTAGTGGAGCCTGACGCCTGGTTGCGGTTATGGGTTGCGTTTGCGGTTATATCGTACGCACTTCCGTACATGTGGTTGCGAAATGCGCAGGTTCGCGGTGACGCCGCGGCTCTCCGTTCCCGTGTTGAGGAGCTTACGGGGGCTCTGGCGGGGGAGGTGGCGGCCAGGCAGATGCTGGCGCATAGCAAGGCCGCCATGGAGGCGGAGCACCGGGCTGCGCTGCAGGTGTGCTGTCGGGTTGCGTGTGTGTATGCATGTACGTACGTACGTACGTACGTATGTATGTATGTATGTATGTATGTATGTATGTATGTATGTATGTATGTATGTATGTATGTATGTATGTATGTATGTATGTATGTATGTATGCATGTATGTATGTATGTATGTATGTATGTATGTATGTATGTATGTATGCATGTACGTATGTATTATAGGTCACGCTTGTTCTGTGTGTTTAGTGTATATTTGCGTGTGAAGCTGAGTCCAGGCGGGCGGTTTGGGTTTCGGGAGACTGCCGAACAGTCTCCCGAGGAGGGGTGGAGACCCCGGGGTTTGGGGGCCCCGTCGGCCGCATGCGTGTGCCATCCCACCCACTACCTCCCACTACCACTCACCTAGTTAGTACCTGTGATATGGAGACCGGGTGCTTACCCTCTCCCCCACTCTTACCCTGCTTCTCCCCCCGCCACCTGCCCGCTCATCAAAAACACACGTACATATATACACACGTACACATATGCACTTGCAGGCCGCCCAGACCGCAGCTGACGAGCGAGTGGAGGCGGAACGTCAACGTCTGGGAGCCCGGCTGAAGGCGGTGGAGGAGGAGGTACGTGTGGGGGACCGCTCAGGATGTACATATGCACATACAGACATACGGAGATGTACAGACATACAGGCATACAGGCGTACGCACATTAAGAAAAACCTGGCACGTCGTTGCACTGCGGTACTTGTTTCTGTGCACCTGCTCATGTACCCCCCCCCTCGACATTTCCTTCTCACGGCTCGGTCCATAAAAACACACACGCAAACGTTCCCCTCTCTCCCCTCCACACGGACTTACCACTGCCCGGGCTCACCTCTTCCCCCCCTTCCCCGCTCTCCCCCCCCGGCCCCCCTACACACACATACACACATACACACGCACACGCCGCACCCCCTTCAGGTCGGGCGGCTGACTCACACCCACCAAAGGGAGACCGCCGCAGCCGCGCGAGCCTGGGAGTCTGAGCGGCAGCAGTTGGTTAGGCGGTTGGACGAGCTGAGTACGGAACTGGCCCGGGCGCGGGAAGTGAAGGCGGCGCCCCTGCCGGTGGGGTCACATGCGCCCGTGCAGGTGAATGCGGTGGGGGGAGTGAAGGGGGTTGAAGGGGGGGAGGTGAAAGGGGAGGAGCTAGGACCTTGTGTCGCTGATTTCTTCCTCTGTGAAAGAGGATTTTTCTCTTCCTCGGTCGTTTCCTCCTTTCCGTACAATATGATGTCCTTTTAGCTTACTTTGTAATCCTCCCTCTATCTCGCATCCGCTATCGTCCTCCCCTTTCCCTCAACCCCTCTTCCAAACCTTCCCACCCACCCATCCCCAACCCACCTTTGGACTCATTTAGCAGTTTGGAATTTCAAATGTCGGGCCAGATGTTGTTTTCCCTTCTTGACCTTGCTGCATCATCATATATTTCCCTCGCTGCCTCTCTCTCTTCTCCCTTCCCTTTACCCCCCTACCCTACCCTACCCTTAGGACCACTCCAACGCCCTGGCTGTGCTGCACACGCAGCTCAATGCGGAGTTGCAGGCCGCTAAGGAGCAGTACGACAGGGAGCTGAAGCAGTACAGGGAGCAACTGGACTCGGTGAGGGGGGGTGCGCGGAGGTTTCAGTGTGTGTGTGTGTATTGGAGAGAGGGAGAGGAGGTACAAACGTGAGGAGAGGGGCGGGGGTTCCCACCTTCATTCTTTTCCTCACCCCCATCCACATAAATATATTCACATACAGACACAAACAGGCACAACGCACGCTCACCTCTGCATTACTTGCGTTTTCATTCTTTTACACACATATATACACACACAACCCACATTGCTTCTTGCATATGATTTTCCCCTCCCCTTTCTTTCCCCCTTCTTTCCCCCCCTCCACATCCTTTCCTCTTCTGCCGTCAGGTCCGTACCCACGTCCGAGGCACCTGGTCCACGTGCTCCCGCCTAGCCACCGACCTGGCTCTGGTAGCCCGCCACCTCGCCCGTATGGGGGTGGGGCTGCCTGACGGGGCGGGAGAGCTGCCCGCGGGGTTACACGGGGTGGGAGATGACGGCAGTGGCGGGTTGTTGGAGCAGTTGGCCGCTGCCGTACGACTAGGGTTTGGTCAGCTGGCTGAGGGGGTGCAGGGGATGGTGAGGCGGCTGCAAACCCTGCAAGCACAGAACCTGGAGTTGGAGGCCAAGGTGGGCGCGTATGTGTGTGTGTGTGGAGGGGGGGGGAAGGGGGGGAGAGAGGCGGGGGTGGGTGTGGGGATGGGGGGTTGTGAAATATGGGATATTAAAGATGTGTGTGTGTGTTGGGAGCCGTTTAAACGTAAAACACTGCTCCGTTGCAACTACCCGCCTCCTCTCACTCTACTGCTCATGCGCCCCTCCCCCCTCCCCCG